TTAGGTGAATGTGCAGCTGAAAGATCTTTCACGTCACCACGGTTTCTTAGATCTTCAACCATAGTGTTGCAAGTTCAGAACACTTTCTTCACCCAACATGCATGCTTTCTTGATATACTTCCATTCATTTCCTTCACATAATCCTTCACTTTGTTTTGATGGACGATGATTTTCCTTGAGCATCAGTTTTAAACGCTTGATTAGATTGGAGTTTGAATGGTTAGTTTGGCTGCAGACCCAGAGTGTGGTTCCTTTTCCTTAAGATTGTAATTGACCATTGACTTCTGAAGGCCTAAGAATCTGTGCTTTGATTGGTTTATTTTTGCGTCGTAAAAACTGTAGCCACTCAACTTTGGCGCTGGTACCCTTTTCTGCACCATTTCACTGTCATCACCCTTTCCTTTTCAATTTCCCCTTCCGTCCCCTTGACGCTTGTCGAGATTTCAATTATGCTGATTTTATTTCCACCGTTCAGCCCTTGAGGAGCCTGTATCATTGCCCCTTCAAAGGGTTCTGTCAGGGCCATCTCTGAACACGCTCACCCACCTGTCGGCTCCACATCTGGTAGGAATAGAGAGATTGATTGATGGGGAAGGAACAGAGCTACAAATATAAAAGCAAAAGTCTAAACTTAGTCCACTTGATTGACATCTTTGCCCTTGGACTTCACATTTTTGTAAACCAGCCTCATAGATCTTTTAAATTGGTCTGTGTAATCTAGACAGATTTTACTGGCTGGACACAGGGTTACACTGTCTTTTGACAGACTTTTTTTCCATTTGGTCATGACTTCCTTAATGTTTTAGAAACCAGCCCAAAGACATGATCTCTTAAATATGCATTCAGGAGAATTTCAGCCTTCTGAAATGATCTAGATGTTTACATTGCGTTATATTTTGTAGAGTTTCTTTAAATTTCTTGATTCCTAAACTCACCCATAATTTCCGGCACTGTAAAATTCAGTCTATTGGTTCACTTAAATAGGCACACATTGATCTTTGTCCACAGGATAAAGTCTATTTTTGGTTTAAAAATTTGAGGTTGTACACAGTCTTTCCTCTGAGCTGCGGATAGCTGTACTTACATTGTCACAAAACACAGGTGCCCTGAGTTGTATGCTTTCAATTGGTTTTGGGTTTTTAAATAAGAGAATAGTTCAACAATAAAACCGATTACTTTGGATGCTGTGGTCTTGTCTTTTTTTTTTTTTGCTTGATTTTTATTTAATTTAATTTTTTTGTTCTTACAAAACTCATGCATTAATTTTATTCAACAACAAATTTTGGTTGTACAAAATTATATCGTTTTTGTCCTAATGATTCATTTCCAAGATAAGAGAGACAAAATGGGGCCCTGTGCTGCTTGATGTATCGCTTTACATATACTTCAAGGGCTCTACATACAGTAGATCCCAAACAAATGGAGCATATGGACTTATTCAAAGGTTTGGTTTTAAAATAGGTCTTCTGCTGAGTGGAGATGCATGGACATCATAATACCTACCGCTTCCATTTTAGGTTAATTTATGAAAGCTGCACCTGAACTTTGATTGTTCAAATTGTTTTAACAAATCAGTTATTTTTTAGAATAAAAAGTGTAACCTGAGGTGGGATACTTTACAGAATGTTTTTAAAAATGACTACGCCAATTTTTGTGTTTCATAAAAACAAAAACAATGGTTGAAGAATAGACCTGAAGTTTTACCTCCAGCCAATCAGAAGGACCTCATGTGTGTGGCAGATGAGTCGCTGGAATGCTGAGGTAGAGTGAACTCGACATCAAACATCTTACCTGAAGCTCTCTGAAGTTCAATCTATAACCCCAGACACATCTGGATCCTATCCTCTCAACATAACTCTTTATCTCTCTCTAACCTTCCCTCCACAGAAGTGATGACCAATTTTATGGGACAGTTGTTGGTCCTTGAGTTTTATTTTTATTTTTTACCTTTGAACGTTCAAATTTGGAAGAGGTGATTGGCATGTTGTTGTCGCTGTCAGTATGGTTTTAGCCGATGTGAACACATCCACACCAGTGAAAATAGGTAGGTATGGAAACCTTATACGTCATATACTTGTAATGGGTTAATCTAACATTAAATAGTTTTAAATGGTTGTTATATATTATTCCTTTACCATTATTTTCTCTCAGATGTTTGACCCTATTATTATTTTTTTTACCCTGTACAGAGTTCTATAGATTTGCCTATACCGTAGTTGTGTATCCAATTAAACTGTTGGTTAGGTATATTGAATATACATGAAAAAGGCAGATGGGTCCTTGATTTATAAGCTGTTTGTCTTATAAAAGAAAGTGTGATATTGAAACTGAAACATAACTCCGCTTTTAGACACAACCCTAGCCAGTGGGTGGGATTAGGTCAGGGTGAATATATAAAGCCAGAAAGACACATTTTACATTTTATAATTATTTCATTGGCTCACGAGACCAGACCCACCTCAGGTACAGTATGCACTTCTTTCTAGCAATAAAATGGTAATTTCACAAAATATTATTTTGATTTTCATATTGGCAGTACTTCAATATGAATACATTATTTAACCCCATCATCTCTTAGCCAGTGTAAACAATCACAAATGTTTGTGATTATGTGAATTTATTTGTTTACACAGGAATGAATTGTCTCATATCGTTACTTTTTGTGCTCTCCATGGGAGCTGCTCAGAAAAGCACAAGACAGACTTCAGAGTGGGACTACAGAGCTGAAGGTGAAATACTGAATATGTACAATAAAAGCTACTATTTACCTTTAAAAGCTTTTGAAATGTTATATAATTGCAAATGTAAGTTATCTATTTTTGTGTGTGTATATATATGATCACACATATCCCCCCTCCATTTGTTAGCTGAGAAAGTGAACTTGAGAGGATGTGCCAATCTCACCTTAGTCTTGGATAACTGGAAATATGCCATCATGACCCAAGTCAAAGACCTCCTTCTGAATGATCACAATACAGTGCTACCAGACTATGGAAGGTACGGTAAATGCCTAGGTTTATAAATATATATAGAGAGAGAGAGAGAGAGAGAGAGAGAGAGAGAGAGAGAGAGAGAGAGAGAGAGAGAGAGAGAGAGAGAGAGAGAGAGATGCGTACAACTGGACCTTTTACTAAAGAGAAGTTACTTTTGAAACGGAACTAAAGTGTGTAAGCGTGTCTCTTTTCACACTTGTCCCATTTAATGTGGTCTTTTCAGGATTCAGCCATTATCTGATGCCCTAAATGACCTCTACAAGGAATTTAACTCTTTGAAAGAGAGACTTGCAGAGCTGACCACAAAGTTTGAGGGCATAGAGTTGTTTGTGGATGAAGCCCGAACCGGCAGGAGTCACTCACCTCCTCGAGTGGAGCGCCCACCTCCTGAGGGAGAGGGAAATCCAGCTGAGCATCAGCCTGGCACAAGACAGGGGCGCAGGAGCAGGGTGGTGGTGCGAAGAGTTAAGAAACCTGATAATTCACAAGTTTAGGACTGATTCAGGTATCTTCTACACAAGACAAGATTTATTGTACATTAATGTATCTAGATTGAAAAAAAAATCTATTTAATGTCTCTACCAAGTTTCTCAGGTGAGAAAATGTAAGCTTTTTGGAATATTTAGACAATGTATGGTATGGGTCAATGTCAGGCTTTACTCTTTTTGATGCTCTTTTCACATTTATTCATTCTAATTGGATTCAAATAATGTAATGATGAACAATGGCAGCAGCTTTTGTTTTTTTTAGATTATCTGTACTTCTGTTCATTTTTCCTTTTTAACTTGTGAATACATTGTATAACATTATTACAACAAATAAAAAAATTAAAACAATGTTTTTTATTTATTTAGTTTTTTTGTTCCTACAGTAGTCGGTGGTGTAATATGGTAAGGAATTGGCTGCATTGCCCGAATTCGCCCCCCTGTCTATGCCTTCGCCCCATAGACGGTAAGGTTCGCCCTAGTAGCCTAGTAGCCTACCCGATGTCAGCATTAAATCTAATTAATATTCATGATGCACGTATGTTTATTTCTATTATCTACAGTAGCCAAAACAAAAATTACTCCGCCCTATATGAAAAATTGCTTAAATACTCAGTCCCGTGACAATATTAATGGGTTTCCTCTGGCCCGAGAATCCGAGAATGACGTTATCAGTGTCGGTTATATTTTGAGTCTTGCACATTCTGTCAGTGTCAAGGTAAGTCAACGGCAGATTTTTCAAACCTAAAATATCTTAAAAAGGTTAACTTACACATCAATAATTACATAAATGTGTGGAGAAGAACTAAAAATAAGACGAGAAGAACTAAAAATAAGACGAGATTCAGTAATTATTAGCTTTAATTGTGCCATGTTTGCCGAGACATGAGATTTGAACGTTTAGTGTTTAGGAAGGTTTTTTCCGCCACAGAATATAAACCAAAAAATAGCCACTTTTTATCTCACAATTCTGACTTTTCCCCTAAGAATTGCGAGTTTAATCGCACAATTCCGAGGAAAAGTCAGAAATGCGAGATGTAAGTTAAACTCTCAACTGTGAGATAAAAGTCGCAATTATCTTTTAAAACGTTTTATTCTGTGGCTGAAACAAGCTTCCACAGCGCTCTCTAGTGGCGGATATTGTTTCCTACAGCAAAATGTTTAGCACACAGTCGTACTAAGTTACCAAAATTGTCTGTTTTATGGGTCATTCTTGTTATGATGTAAGTTACCTTTAAACTCTGTGGAAATAAAGAGCTGAAGTTAGCTATTCATTGCCCAGTAATGTAGAAGGGAAGGGTATGGACTGGCCATTGTTACGAAAGGGTGTCTACAAACTTTCTTTTTTTTATTGTTTTCATTTAATAAATAAAATTTGAAATAAATCAAGTAGTACAAAAAAAAAAATCATAGAATTAAATCCTATTATTTAATGTTGATTTTTGTACATATAACGTCTCTTTATGCCCCTCCCTGGCCCTATTTACATGTCCCTATCCCATTTTTTCCTTTAGCTTTCAAAATGGACACCGAGTGCAGTGAGTCATGTAACATTTCAGAAAGTATGGTGGTGCAGGAGGACATCCCGCCTGACCCTTCTCTGGCCACCGACTTAATAGTAAGAGATCTGTAGTTCTAGGCACACAATTCCACAAGGAATTGTCACAGAATGAGGTGAGAAGAGCAACAATGATGTGAACAGCAGTGAGATTTGTCAAATATGACTGTTTTGTCTTTTACTATAGGTTACATGCAAAATGATTCTCTTAATCATAACTAAACATGATAAATTTGCTAAATGGCTTTAAAAAAAATCTAAATTTTTTCAGACTATATTTTCTTGCCCCATTTCCTTTTTTTAAAAGCATAAACTACTACATGGGAAATCTTATTAACCATGAGATACAAAAAAATAACTTAATTCAAGATATATTTCCATCCTCTTTTTTTGAGATTAATATTTTATCCAGGATATTAGGACATGGTGGAGACATGAAAATGTCTTTTTGACCTGTTCAGGTGGACGCAGAGACTCAAATTGACTCTGAGACAGTGTCACATGGAATGAACCATGCAGAGGGGGGGTGGCCGAAAACGATGGATGCAGGCGACATTGAGGCAACTGGCCGCTACAGGAAGAAAGTGCAGAAGGATGTGTGTTATCAGAACACGGTTATGGAAATTGCTACTGTGAGTGCCAACACCATAACCACAATTACCATTTAAAAAAGAAAAACATTTTAGCAGTATGTCAGGATCTGTAGTGTTTAAGGAATAGTTCAGCTAAAGATAAAAAATACTGTACTTCTGACCACCATCATGTTGTTTTAAACCCAAGTGATGAGGCGGGTGCATTATTTGTATGATTCTTTTATACTTTTATGGTGCTTTTGCCTTTTGAAGCTTGAAAGCTGTAGTTTCCATTCATTGCAATTGCATAGGCATTGACAGTGCAATTGCATAAAACAATAACAATCTTCTGGACTTCTTTTGTGTTCAAGTCACATGGTTTTGGAAGTTGGAACAACATGAGAGTAAAGAATGTCCTTTAAGACAGCAGGGAGATAATTCAATTGAATCTGGTTTTGGTTTCATATTTTATCTCCATCTTTCTCAGAACTGCTATTTAAATCTCACAGATGCAGTAGGTACCCTATAGGGTCCTCAGTAGAGTTCATGAAGTGATTGTAATTCTGAGTCTGAGTATTGTCTTCCTGTCCGCTGCAGGTCACGGAACACTGTGTCAAGCAGAGCAAAGCTGACATCTACTCAGATTTTTATCAAGCTAAGAGGGTGGTGAAGAAAAAGAAGCCGAGCCATCAGCAAGAGCCATCAGCGAGAACAATCAATGTGTTCAGGTGAGCACATGGACACCTTGTTTAGACATAGGTAGGTAGATGCAGTATGTCATTTCTGTCCCACTCATGTAACTAAAACCCTATGTGATTTTCTCTAGAGACCCAAATAAAAAAAAGCGTGCTGCCACCAGTTTGTCCTGGCATCCACTCGATAATCATAAACTAGCTGTTGCCTACTCTTGCCTGGAATTTCAGAGAGCACCTAAAGATATGAGCTTTGACTCATATATATGGAACACTGGTATGTAATGCACATATATTATTCTGGCACACATACCACTCTTGGTAATAATTGTACTTATTTATTCCCACCTACAGAAAAAAGCAATAAACCGGAGATGACTCTGAAACCTGTATCTCCACTTGTTTGTCTGGAGTACAACCCCAAAGATATTCACATCCTTGTTGGGGGAGGCTACAATGGACAAATCGGTCTGTTTTTATTATGAATGGTTATATAAGGCCTCTTCAATCCATCTGATCTGAAACACTCAAGCTCAGAGATGCAGTCCTTACAGTCTACTGTTTATGTGCCATTTAGATGTCTTTACTGTCCTCTAGTCAGAAAGTTTGCCCTATTTCCAGGCTATTGGGACACACGGAGCGGCAGCCGGCCAGTACAGATGTCCGCCATTGAGCATAGCCATAGAGATCCTGTCTACAAGGTCATCTGGCTGCAGTCAAAGATATGCACTGAAACTTTCTCAGCTTCTACAGATGGTCAGGTCTGTCTACCGTGACACAACAGTCTACAAACAATTAAATAAGCCAACAATATTTCACAGCACCTTTTTGAACTGGACAGCTATAACAAACCCTTCAAATTAGTCATGTTATGTACTGTAAACTCAAAGAAGTATCTGTATGACTCCAGGTACTGTTCTGGGACATTCGAAAGATGAGTGAGCCCAGCAAGCGGCTCGTGCTTGACCCCAGTAAGACGGGAAACTGTGACAATGCTTTTGGTGCCGTCTCAATGGAGTTTGAGAACACTATGGTAAGAGCAGTTTTCATTTTGTTTGGCCTATTCCCTTGTGGAAACTCATGTTAAAAATGTTAAAGTTTTTTTCCTTTCGATTACACAAGGCCAAGTTTATGGTAGGCACAGAGCAGGGGGTTGTGGTCTCATGTAATCGCAAGTTAGAAACCCCAAACGAGTCGATTGTTGGCACATACCACGGACACCATGGCCCCATTTACGCCTTGCAGAGGAACCCTTTCTTTCCGAAGTACTTCTTGACCGTGGGTGATTGCACTGCCCGCATCTGGTCAGAGGACATCAATGAGACCTCCATCATGTCCACCAAGTAAGAACCTCTGTGTTGTGGTTATGAAATACTGACAGAGCAGCATTTATACCTCTCAGATGGGTTGTATTTTATGTGTAATGTACATTTAGATCAACTATACTTTAAGTTATTGGTTCTCAATCAGGGGGCCAGAGGATGACTTTAATTTTGATTTGAATTTATTTATATATAAAAAAAAAAGTATTTAAATTAATAAATTATTATTATTATTTTATGAAAATAATTTAACTCTAATTTTAGAAATTATTATTAAAAGTTATTTAAAAAAAACCCCCCCACATAAAATCAACATGTCCAGGGCTGTATTACAGAGATTTCCTATCTTAATTATTGACTTAATATTATAACAAGTTATATTTCCTAAATGAAAGTACAATGGTTACTGGTATACAGAATAACTTCTGGAATTACAGAATTAATTATAGTTAATATATTAAATTAATTAAGCATATTGATTGAATAAATCAATAAAAATGTCTGAAAAGTCAAAAAAGGTGGAGAACCACTGCTTTAAAGGGTTAGTTCACCCAAAAATGAAAATTCTGTCAGTAATTACTCACCCTCATGTTGTTCCAACCCTGTAAGACTTTCGTTCATCTTCGGAACACAAATTAAGATATTTTTGATTAAATCTGAGAGCTGGATCACTCCTCCATAGGCTTCTTAAGGGATCGAAACTGGCCGGCCCAAAAGTTATGAAAGACATCGTTAAAATAGTCCAAGTGACTACAGTGGCTCAATCTTAAGTTTATCAAGCGACGAGAATACTTTTTGTGTGCAAAAAACAAACAAAAATAACGACTTTATTCAACTAATCATTTCCTTCTCTGTTCGGCCGTGATATTTCACGTAGTGAAACTACGCAAAGCTTCTAGGTTGTACGTCACGCATCACACACATGACCAGCGTCGGCCAATAGTGAGCCTACGTGTGACGTGCAACCTAAAGGCTTTGCGCAATATCACTACGTGAAATATTTTACGGCCGTACAGAGAAGGAAATGAGTTGAATAAAGTCGTTATTTTTGTTTGTTTTTTGCGCACAAAAAGTATTCTCGTCGCTTGATAAACTTAAGATTGAGCCACTGTAGTCACTCGGACTATTTTAACGATGTCTTTCATAACTTTTGGGCCGGTCAGGTTCGATCCCTTAAGAAGCCTATGGAGGAGTGATCCAGCTCTCAGATTTAATCAAAAATATCTTAATTTGTGTTCCGAAGATGAACGAAAGTCTTACGGGGTTGGAACAACATGAGGGTGAGTAATTACTGACAGAATTTTCATTTTTGGGTGAACTAACCCTTTAAAGAGTTGTTTGGTGCATCTACTTCCACAAGAGCCAATATTTCTAATCTGTTTCTACAGAAATCACATGACTTATCTGTTAGATGGCTGTTGGAGTCCAGTCAGACCCTCTGTCTTCTTTACGGTGAAGATGGATGGGACTTTGGATGTATGGGACATACTATTTAAACAGAAGGATCCTACTCTCAGTCTCAAAGTCAGTCTTAAATATTTCCTTTTCATACTGAGAATGTCTCCCACTTAAATATAGAATTATTATTTGTTTATACTGTTTGTGTTTTTTTTCTTCTTCACAGGTTTGTGACGAAGCTTTGTACAGCATCCGTGTACAAAATAAAGACAGTTTGGTGTGCTGTGGATCTCAGCTGGGAACCGTCAAACTGCTGAGGATGTCACCAAGCCTGTTCAGACTGAAGAAGAATGAGAAGGCCTTGGTCTCAGAGGTGGGACACAAATACACCTTCCTTCACATGTGCAAACACATTCACTCTTTAATATTCATATTGCCTTGAAATCAGAGTAAATGATGACAAGATATTTATTTATGAATGAAATATTCCTTTAAAAGATATATGATTCTATAACACAAAATAATTTTTAGTCGTGTAGATGTACACTGAACTGTTGGAGTGGATTTTTGCTTCATTGCAGATGTTTGAACGTGAGACCCGGAGAGGGAAGGTTCTGGAATCTCAGTACAAAGATAGGAATCAAATAAAACAAAGCTGCTCCAAAGAGGATGAGGGGGGGGAAGGAGACATTGAGGAACTGCTGGGCTGTATAGAGATGGAGTTTTTTGAGAACGAGGATTTTGAGATGAAAATAGAGGATGAGGAGAAAGAGAGAAGGTTAGGAATAGAGAATGTGATCTTTTCCACACTTCCATCCTGGCCAAGGAACCAATGTAAGCGGTCCTACTCGACCTGCTCGGAGCGGGATTCGAACCCGCGTCTCTGGCCTGTTAGGCAGCGTGCTAACAAGGACGCTAAAGACTGGAGTCTAAGGGGCAGTTCACATGTTGCGTCTTTTGCGCGCTTAAGTTCGTGATCTTAAATATAGACAAGCGCACTTAAATAGAGAGCGATGCGCAACGCGCTTGTTTTTCCCAGGCACGTCTACACTGCAGCAAGATGAAAATATCTCAACTTTTCAGAATGCTGCAAACGCACTGTAGGTCATGACAAGAACCAACCGATCAGCTTCAGCCTTTCCTTAACAACATCGAAAGCTCAGCCAAGATGGGCGAACAGCTGATCATAGCTGTACAGGGCAGGTTTTTTATTTCTCATCTCATAAATATAACTAGTAGTAGAGCTAATGGAAATCCAGCCCTTGCATTAGCCCTTTGCTGAAACTTCTTCGCCTTCATGGAGAACATGGCTCATGCATGCTTAGCAACAGCAGCTCTCCCGGTTGCTTTTGAAAAGAGGAGAAAGTTGCACGGCCAGCTTTTTCCATGTGTTTTTAGATGTGACGTGAACGGCCCCTAAAGATGTCAGGCGCCAGCGTGCCTCTTGAGGCTAGGGGAGTGAAGTTTACATCCACAGCTCTTAGGTCCTGTCCCAAATGGCACCCTAAGCACTTGCGGTCTTCCGACGTGTCCGCACTTTCGTGACGTAACGCCACTTTGACTTTCAGGAAGAAGTCTGCTGTGGAGCTCGCATCAGTGCGGGCTCTGCAAAAGTGCGCATCAAGGGCACATATCAACTGCAAAGGGGGGCGCTCGCGAGCACACTTCTGAAACCTAAAATGACAAATGGGACACCCTGGCTGCTTTTCAATTCTTATTTGTGCATCCTCGTTTCCTTTCCTCGCTTCCTTTACTCGCGTCTTAGCTCCACCCCTTCAGATTGCGAGGGAAGGATGCAAGAAAAAAGACTCAAAGGACGGAGGGATCTAAGAAAAGCTTATTTGTATATTGGAATTTTCTTGATCATTCGAGCACCACTTCACTGCGTCATCAGCTGCGCTCAAAGGATCTACCTTATAGCTCATAGCTCCTCTGGAAGCTTCCTCACTCCTCATTCCTCGTCTCTTCGCAGTGCAATTAGAGAATTGAGATGTTCCTCAAGATGGCTGAGCTCGATCAGTTTCCGGGTGATGGGATGGAGGACGGAGGAAATGAGGAGGGATATTGAGAAGCACCCCTTACTGTCTTATGGACTTAACGGACATGCGCATACGGCAGCCATTGCAAGTCCACAAGATCAAAAGTGCATATGAAGTGTGCCATTTGGGCAGGGCCTTACTAGCTTGCATCCATTACACTCAACTCCTTAAACCTCACTCCCAATGCACCAACATGTAACTGGTCCCTGCTCCGAGCGGGCTTCGAACCGCCGTGTCTGGCATGATAGGCGGGCGCGCTAACCAGGACGCTAAAGTTTAAAAGCGTCAGAGTGAAGTTTATATGCACTACTCTTACTAGCTTGCCTCCGTTACATGTGCAAACAGTTTTTACTTGGTTTTTACTTTAAATCGTTTCACTGTCAATAATATGTTGTGTAAAATATGTCAATAATCATATACCAGACTACAAAAGAAATGTAGTTTGGCTAGTCTCAAAGTTTTGGATCTATGTTTTCTAAGGTTGTTTCTTGTCCCCTGCAGGAAAATAATGTGTGAGGAGACATCTAAGTAGAACACTGCTTCCAAACATGCCAAAACGAGGACGTTTTTCCAAGTGCAAATAGACTTTAAATCAGTTCTGTCTAAAGTAAATTGAAACAAGCATCCACGATGAATTACTCTTCCTGCTTCACATCAGTTTGTTGAACATTTATTTTTTTGAAGGTCATAACTTTAGCATAGACAATTGTACACATATCAACTCTGCTGTTATAAGTTTAAGACAAGCCTAGAAATTAAATGTGAAAGTTTCCTTTAATCTCTTCAGTATTTATTTTACTAAAAAACTCATTATGCTTGATTACAGAGAAATTAGTATGTTATATGTCAAGTTATTGAAATTTTAAGACCATAAAAAATTAGGCTATGCCTCCATGCAGTAAATACATGCATATAAATGAACCACATTAAACAACTATTGAAAATGGAAGGTCCACTTGCTTTAGCATTGTATAATGCACACCTTGGCACTATTTCATGTGAAGTGAACCATCTCTACATTGTGGATGTAAAGACTTGACTTTTGCGGATGTGAGAATGAAATATGAATCCATCTTTCAGCATGAAATAACCCAGAAACAGCTGCACCATCTTCCTTTTGAAGTTCCCTATTCCATAAATCATAGAAAGAAATAATTATTAGATATTGCAACACTAAGTTAATAGAGTATTTTAATGTATTAATACCGTTTAATAATAATACGTATTATCATTATTCTCTCAAATACAGTAATAAAATAATGTTAAGATGGTCAAGGCAAGCAACGTCAGTTTGAGGATCTAATTAATATTCATGAGTTAATGTTATTCTTAAGTGTAATGCATGTATTTAAGGCATCATATTACCTTCATAATTGCGTTCGTTCGTTGTAATGACGAGGGAACGGCCAGTGTATAGAAACCAGCTGGCGAAACGAAACTGAAAGTTATGTACCGAATGCAATATAAGAAGCGAAGAGAGCGGAACTGCAAGGAATAGTTCGGTTTGCTGACAGGAGTGAAAACTGTTCAAGAAGAGTGACTCTCCAAAACATGTATCTGTCATCTTTTTACAAAGCCAATGATCAATTCAGGTAGGCATATGCCGTGATATATTTTGTTGTTATGTATCCTCTCGGTTTGTTGTAAACGATTCTCACAGAGGTTTGTGGTTCATGATGTGCGTTTTAAAATTTAAAAATTTCACTTAAATTTACCAAACTGTATTTAAACATTTTTTGCATTTCCCTTTTCGAGAAATATGTGAGGCAGTATCATTCCTCATTAACTAAACCTAAAAGAAGCAATGAGGAAGTTGTTATTTGTGAACAGAGATGGCTATGAGATTGTTGACGATGTGCTGTCGAAAAAACATAAAACATTGTCATGAATTTGAGTGGACTGTCGTTACAGTCACTGAGGCGATGCAATGTTCTGTGATTCCTTATGAAAAATTAAAAAGTCATTGTGTAGTAACCGTGTTTAAACTGTGGTTTTTGCAGCCAAACCATAATAGCCACAGGCAAAATCATGGATGTCTCCTCACCATGATTAGGCAATAGTCTGTGGCAAACTATGGCTTTGAAAAAAAATAATAATACAAAATCATAGTTTAAACGCATCCTGAAACCCATTTTTGAACACACACGCACACATGATTTCTCCACAAAATGTGTTGATCCATCAATGTTCAATACCAACTTTTTTTTTTTCTGCAATCATACTCCTTGTTATGAAGGACTAAAAATGACATAAGGAAAAATAAATAAATAAATAAATAAAAGTAGAAATAAATAAATAAATGCAGAAATATAGTAAAACAATAAATACATTTTGGTAATATAAATGGCTATTTCTGTATTTTTACATGTATTTAAGTATTTATGCATTTCTATGTGTATTTATTTATGTATTTATACATTTATTTATTTATATATTTATTTGTCCATTTATTTATTTATGTATTTCCACATTTCTACATTTATTTATTTATGTATTTCCACATTTCTACATTTATTTTTCCCTGCGCCTGTATGCTAATTGAGTGGGGGGGGGGGGCCAACATCAGTCTGAAGCAGGATTGGTTAGCTGGGGGCCGCATCGTTAACCAGACAGAAGCAAACGATCCATCTATCCATCTCTGGACGCAGGCTACCTATGAATGCTGCGGCTAGAGTGTGTGTTTATATCTAAGGTGTGTAATACCATCTATGGTAATGAGTCGGGCGGTGTGGATCGTCAGTTTTCAACAGTAGCCTACACTGAAATATATTTCTGAAAAGATTTAAAGCGAGAAATAGACAATCCAGCAACAGAATCTTCATTCATATTTGATCAGCATTGCCTAGTTTTACAGTTTGTTGTGAGCCTGATGCTTTGCTTTGGACGGGTTCATCATGCACTGCCGGGCGGGGTTGGGATTAGGCAATCAGGTACTGACTTCAACGAGCGGGGTAATAATTTGGCAGGGGGTCGAAATTAGGCACAACACCTGTTCTACTGATTGACATCTTCTTAATCTATGGTGACACATCCATCAGCGGATCCGAGAACATTTTGCTTAATTTCAGACTTTAATGCACCCACACTGAAGAATTTGTGCATTGAATATAATGTTAGACAAATTAAACCATACACTGTCAACTAATGATGTGTAGCCTAGACCATCGTTCTTTTGTTACTCAGTATAGTTTTTATTAAAGATGGGGTCATGGGGATCGAGACCCGGTTCTGAAAGGACCCAAACTTTCTCTAAAATCAATAAGGTCCTAAATACTGCTACTGTTTCTAATGATGGCACCGAAACGCGGTATTAAACGGGCTCGGGACTGTTTATTATCAGGCTGCAGCTTCCCCTCCATTCTGTCGCGCACACAGACGCAGACGTCGCTGTGCAGACGGGGAAGTTAAGTTAGCTCCAGTCCAAACTACTCAATTTGCCGACAGCTACGCTCCTTATGTGCAATAAAACCTTCGCGAGTAAAAAGACAATACTTTATAATTATCAGTACACCTGTGTGTAAGGTAAACATGTAGAAAGGGTTAATTATCTCTGTCCTCAGTCTCTCATCCTGTATGTTCTATTAATAGCTTCTATTAACCCAAGCAACGAGGCGAGTAGGCTTTCTTGTACCAGTGAAATCAAGGCAGTAGTAGTCGATTCGATCACATCTCTCTAACCAATCCTGCTTCAGACTGATGTTGGCACCCCCCACTCAATTAGCATACAGGCGGAGGGAAAAATAAATGTAGAAATGTGGAAATACAGAAATAAATAAATGTAGAAATGTGGAAATACAGAAATAAATAAATGTAGAAATGTGGAAATACAGAAACAAATAAATGTAGAAATAAATATATAAATAAATATAGAAATACATAAATGTAGAAATAAATGTAGAAATACATAAATAAATACATATAGAAATGCCTAAATAAATAAATAAATACATGTAAAAATACAGAAATAGCCATTTATATGACCAAAATGTATTTATTTTTTACTATATTTCTGCATTTATTTATTTATTTATACTTTTATTTATTTATTTTTCCTTATGTCATTTTTAGTCCTTCATACTTGTGCCATATAGCCTATATTACATACACATTTACAAAATATTTATTTTTGAAGATATTTGACCTTTGAACCTCTTTTGCAAGAACCAGGAAGGCACAAGCTGTAAGAAGGTAGAAATGCCAAAGAAGGGAAAAGGTAGAGCGAAAGGAAATGCAGGTGAACAGAAGAAGGGGACTCAAAAAAGAGATGGCAGCACATCTTCATTTAGAACGAATTCACAGAATCAACCGAAAGGCAAGCATACGAGTCACCCAAGCAGATCCAGATCCAGAGGCCATGGAAGGCACAGCACAGGCGCAACAGAGTCTGAGCCGCTGAGCAAAGAGGCTCAGACTCAAACAGGCTCAAGTAAGTTGGAAAACAAGGAGACTCAGACGGAGACTGTCAGTCATGCAACACAGCAGACTCAAACAGAGATCAATGGCAACACAGAGACCACAGAAGTGTCACAGCCAACAGACATCAGTCCTGAAGATGTTAGGACGAAGGTGGAAACTGTGCTGCCGAGGAACAAAGGAAATGTAAGTGGTGGAGAAAAGGAGGAAAGTGTAGAGAGTAAGAAAAGGAGAATGAGTGAATCAGGGGAACCTACTAAGGAGACAAAAGAAAGGACTGAACTATCAGATGGTTGTGGAAAACAAGGTGGAGATCATCAGAAAGATAAAGACACAAATGAAAAACATTTAGAAGGAGATTCACAAAAAGACACTAACCTCAAGTCAGGACCAGAAGAGCCAAAATCATATGCAGCGGCTACTGCAGCCGGAAAGACCAAAGAGTCGAAGGAGGAGAAGAAGCAGACCGCAGCGGATAAGGTCGATAGTAAAAAAAGGTTTGCAACATTATAATATAATCCACTTATATTAAATGTTTGACCTAAATAGATACAGGATATGACGACTTATTGTTTTTAAGATTAATTTAAATAATGTTTTATTTTTTCATAGAAAACCTTCCCCAGTGAGGGCTCCAGAAAAACAGCCAATGTTCACTTTCTACATTTATGCTGTTCTGGACAAAAGATTTGCATTTGACAGAAAGCATGACACCCTTTTGCTGCTTTTTGGGAATGAATACGTTGAACTACAAATTACACATTTTTTGTAAGTTTTTTTATTAATTTATAATTACAACATACTATATTATAGCCTACAGGTAGCAAATACAATATGAATTGTGCAAGTAAATATAACTGAGGTAAAAGTTATATGTGATCTTTATATTGTAAAGTGTTTTTTTACTGTCATGGAATTTCTTGTTGCTTAGGGACCTACAACAGGAAGGCTATTTGATTGAAGCAACATTTCCAGTTTGGGAAAGATTAGCATGGGGGGTTCCAATATATTACAAGTATGCAGTGCAGAAACAAAATGACCCCATTGAGGAAATAGCATCAAGATATGTTTACATCCCAAATGACAAAACAGGTACTGTTAAAAGTGTTAAATACGTTT